TCTTACGTTTATCCTGTAAAGACTCAGTAGCCAACTGACTTGTATACTATCGCGGTGCTTTTCTCTTTGTCTGATTATAGCAGCCAGGTTTTTTCAACAAATATTGCATGAAGACTAATTTTATCTTAGTCGTTTATCAGCCCTAAGAAGGTCAAGTTGTTTATAATGATTGACGGTTTTCTTGATTTGTTCTGAACTGCGAACGCTTTGGGTACTGAAGTGGTTTAATGTGTAGCTAGGACTGAGAAATCTGCCTGTACTACAATCTAGATATAAAGAAGGTTGGAGATTGTTACTCGTTTGGATATCGTTGGCACATGGTAGAGGATTCAACCACCGCAAGAAAAATCACTCTCTTGATTAAAACAGGTCGCCCGCCATGCTTAAGTGAAACATGATGTCATGGGTTGATACTAAGGACTAGTAGAAAAATTGTTTTGCACGGGCAGGTGGTATATCTCTATGACATTCACATCCGACAAAATCTCACAGTTTAGACGTAAGGTGATCTTGAACTTTTGTGAAGAGTCCTCTAGGCCTTTTTTGCTTGGTGTTTGTGACAATCTGAACAGATTCAGGGATCATGGTTGGAAAATCCTTTGTGTAGTTGGAACTTCTTGGGACATTCATGCCCCTTTGCTCTGACTGTCACTGACACTGTTTTCAGCAAACGTGTTTATACTTAGATATTGATGCTTTGACATTCGCTCACAAACTTCGCTTACTCTCTGTTGGCGAGTTTTGTAATTCATAACTTCCCTGAGCCACCAGATCATGTTCTTTAATTTTATCTGTCTGTCATTTAGGCTGAGAAACTCTGACTCATTTTAACGCTAATCCTTGAGTTTGGTACGCACACGTGTTGTTAGTTGAGTTCTGGAGCCAAGCATGCGTAAATGTTTTGTTATTCCCCAAAACTTCTATTGTGATAAAAAAAGAAGTAGTAAGCATGGTACTTTTAATTCCAATTTGGAGGATTTTTTTACTGGGAGTCTAATTTGCATTTTCCGTTTATAAATTTGAATGTGCTACATACATTCCCCGTGGTTTCGAGGAATACATCCATGCAGCTTGAATTACAGCTAGTATTTTGTACGTTTTTTATCCAGCCCATAGTTTTATCAAAGGGAGCTCTAAGTCTTTTACGAAGGCTATCAAATTGATAGGAATTTTAAAAGGTTTTTGTGAAAAGAGGGATTAGGCGTGCTCTTCATAGTGGACTTCAGCTAACCCGAAAGATTACGTTGCATGTGAGGAATTGCTAGGTGAGCTAGTGTTGTAGAGTATTTTGATTCTACTCCTGCCATCTACAAAAGGCCGACAAATGTACGGAGTGAGATTTCTGATAACTCAGCCTTTACAAAAGCCCAGGTTACAAAAAAGAAAATTAAAGTAGACGTGAAGGACATGCTAGCAGTAGACCGCTTTTAAATTCAAACATAAAAAGTTGCGAATAAGTTCTTCCACACGAATGAAATGGGGTAAAACGCTTAAAACCTATCGACAAGTAGGATGCATTGTTGATGATTACGGACAGTTACCTTAATATATATATATATATATATTTGTTGGAAATGTTGATGCACGTGGACTATAGAACTTCACATAATTCGCTATAAGCTGGCTCATCCAGAAGTATAACCTTTGCGTTAAGCACCAAGTGGTGGTGAGCAAACCTACAGCAATTTGTGAAAAAACTTGCTACGTTCATTTCCAAAACAAGTCAACACATCTTATGCAAAATTCCATGAGCCACCAGATCATGTTCTTTAATTTTATCTGTCTGTCATTTAGGCTGAGAAACTCTGACTCATTTTAACGCTAATCCTTGAGTTTGGTACGCACACGTGTTGTTAGTTGAGTTCTGGAGCCAAGCATGCGTAAATGTTTTGTTATTCCCCAAAACTTCTATTGTGATAAAAAAAGAAGTAGTAAGCATGGTACTTTTAATTCCAATTTGGAGGATTTTTTTACTGGGAGTCTAATTTGCATTTTCCGTTTATAAATTTGAATGTGCTACATAGATTCCCCGTGGTTTCGAGGAATACATCCATGCAGCTTGAATTACAGCTAGTATTTTGTACGTTTTTTATCCAGCCCATAGTTTTATCAAAGGGAGCTCTAAGTCTTTTACGAAGGCTATCAAATTGATAGGAATTTTAAAAGGTTTTTGTGAAAAGAGGGATTAGGCGTGCTCTTCATAGTGGACTTCAGCTAACCCGAAAGATTACGTTGCATGTGAGGAATTGCTAGGTGAGCTAGTGTTGTAGAGTATTTTGATTCTACTCCTGCCATCTACAAAAGGCCGACAAATGTACGGAGTGAGATTTCTGATAACTCAGCCTTTACAAAAGCCCAGGTTACAAAAAAGAAAATTAAAGTAGACGTGAAGGACATGCTAGCAGTAGACCGCTTTTAAATTCAAACATAAAAAGTTGCGAATAAGTTCTTCCACACGAATGAAATGGGGTAAAACGCTTAAAACCTATCGACAAGTAGGGTGCATTGTTGATGATTACGGACAGTTACCTTAATATATATATATATATATTTGTTGGAAATGTTGATGCACGTGGACTATAGAACTTCACATAATTCGCTATAAGCTGGCTCATCCAGAAGTATAACCTTTGCGTTAAGCACCAAGTGGTGGTGAGCAAACCTACAGCAATTTGTGAAAAAACTTGCTACGTTCATTTCCAAAACAAGTCAACACATCTTATGCAAAAACACCAAGAAGTCCCGACCTGCAGCATAGTGTAGACTATAGTTGACTAACAGTTAAAATGTATTATTGGATCTTTGTATGGCCGAAATAGTGATAGCAATAAGCAGCTGCCTTTTAGGAACAACAGAAAAATTCATGTTAAAAACGTTGTACCTTTTTAGATCCAAACGTTTGAACTGAAACGTGCCCAAGAATATACTAATTTAAAAGTTACGCAACAAGTGTAAGGAGTCACCTAATGCTGGATACTCCAAGGTGGATTGATGTTCAGTCGTTTTAGAGATGACCACTCTGTTACAACGCAAACATGCACCTCTGACGTACCTGACTTCCTAAACTGGACATATAATTTTCCCACAGTCTACCCACTTATGGTCCTAGACTTAACGTTTCTGGAAAAAACAACCACGTTCACCAGGAAAGGATGTTTTACCACTTATTGTGCTTGCCAAACCAACCAGCTAACTAGCTAAGAAATATTTGAGAATATTCGCGCTTAGATACCAATCAGACTGTCTTCCAAGTAAATGCTAGCTCACCCACAGCACATCCTGTTTTATTGACGGAAATCTAAGGAATTTCAAGGGCAGCTACAGTGTTGTTTGTGACTTTGAAAGTAAAGTAAATTGTTTCGTTTGACTTACTAATTGATTTTTAACAGACCGAACCTCCTAACCATTAAGCATCAAAGCTTCTGCTAATAGCCTTCCCTCCTAATAAACCCACTGTTTTAATCAAATAAGTGTACGATTTTATCTGGGTAAAATATATACTTAGTGTCATGTATCCCCAGTGTTTAAGAAAAGTTGACAGACTAAAACACAACAGTGTTCCAAATATATTCGCCTCCCTAAATAAAGGTTGACCTTCCATCATCTCCTCCCCCGGTAATTTATCTGAACGTTCTATTTTGTAAAAACAGACGCCACATTATTTTTGCAATCAGTTAGTGGGGATGGTCGCGAAATTCAACATTCTGCCTGAATTAACTTATGCCCATAATATTTCATATATTTCTTCAAACTAAAAAAAAGACTCCGGCTTTCTTTGAAGATGGCGTTATATCGGACAGGTAACTGTGTAGTCTATATGAATACACCCTTTTCTAAAAAGCGATTATTTTTATCCTCCAAATTTATCTGAAGGCAGGAAAAAACCTGAAGACATTGGTCCCGATCAACTTCACTCAAAAATAACATAAAACTCCTTGGGAAAGCGTAAAGTAGACTCAGATTAATCAAGCTCACTTTGATTGTCATTAAAACCAACAGTATTCAGGCCGTTTTCATCAACATTATCAGACCTTATATCGAGAAGGACAATGTTTTATTTCATTTATTTCATCGCAATCAATAACAACCGAGGTCTGACTGATAAATCACACTAATACGTATTGTATTGACTCCATCTATCCCAAACATGAAACGGAGGGCTGATGGGCAAGATTGCACTCACTCATGAGATCCCTCAGCCCTTTCAGTACGCTTTCAAAGTTTTCCAGCACGTAGTTCAGAGATTATCTTTTAACCCCGCGTTATCAATAGTCACACCTTGAATTTTGAGAAAATTTCACCTCAGCCCGATTTACCTTGGCGTGAGATTGTCTGGCAACATACATAGGTGTACTGAAAGATATCAACACATTCATGTCCTGACAAGATGCACCTCTGATAAGTTCCTTCCCCCTACCGGTCACATAACTCCGTGAGGCATTACTCACGCTTTGGTCTACCAAGTGATGGCAAACAGCCTAAAAGCATGCTCAGTTAGCCTTATTATCATCGGTTACTGGTCTTTTTCTAACATCCGCTATCTGTACAACTGTCGCATGAGTGCAGACTGAAGAGCAACTCTAAGGAGAGGAAACAAAATAATCGGCGATTCAAATAGCTAAAATGATATTTAAAACAACAGAACAGCTGAAACATTAGGCGCCTACTAACCTTCTTCTCTGGATCAACCGCCCTCGACTAACCAAAGGCACCATTTTCCAAACAAAGAAACACTTGTTATTTCATATATCAAACTCCCTTATGGATTATATGTGGGTGTCTAGAAAATAATTTCCTGTGGATCATCCGTGAAGCTGCGCAATATCGCACTTATCACGAATTACTTTCATGAGACTTGCAGGAAATTGCATAATGTTGACGCTGACTGTTCAAAAGAAGTGCTTCCGTTCACTAGAGTCTTATCAAACTTATTTTACAAAACATAACTACAATAACTTTCGTCAGCTTTTATAAACGAAGCGTATCTGAGTTTTACTTACCGATTGGATCCACGTGGGTGAGATGGTCATAGAAGTTCCGCTTTTCCATAAAGAGTGTCAGCTTTGTGGTTGACGTTATATTAGTAAATGGTGCTTACTCGTCCATCGGGGCTCTGTTTTTTGAATATTCTAGAAATATTCGTATATATTCTAGGATTCACTTACTCTAATGTATGTGTCTGGTGTTTGCCATTATCTGTCATCTTTTGAAAAGTGATTAATACAAGTCATAGAAATATCTCCAAAACGGGACTCAAATTCGTCCTCAAAATTCAAGGTAAACGTTGATTCGCTTGGAAGATTAAAACAATGAATTCCGTACGTCCAGCAGCTACATGCATGAGGGAAGTGAAGGCTCGTGATTCGGCAGTTAGTCATCATTGCTGCACACATGTTTGCATTTATCAGCCAAAAATCATGGAAACTGTTTACCCGCAACTTTAGCAGCGGCGGAAGTTAGCACATGCATCTGGAGCTATCAGCCAAAAATCATGGAAACTGTTTACCCGCAACTTTAGCAGCGGCGGAAGTTAGCACATGCATCTGGCAGTAAGTATTCACACAATGGAAATGAATTTTCGCAAGCTACGACGTTTCCTTACTGGATTTAACGAGAAAGTGGGCAGTTTAATTCAGTGGAAGAGTCGAATTTTTTGAACCCCATTTGGCATCCCGTGGTACCAGCGATGTTAAGAAAATTTTCCTCCAGAGGCCTCAGTGGACAATGAAATTTAGTGAGCTATAAACGTATGAACGTAAACTGGGATGGTTTTTGGTTCGAGCAAATACACGAAAAATGCTATACTTTGGCGTAGAAAGTTTTATTCCATTCGCAAGCTTTTTGCAGCTAAAATAATTACGCGGCTAATGGACCCCCATGTATTTTACTCGATAGGCTGTTAAGTTCGTTCGATGCACAGGGTTGTGGGAACTCTAGAACTTGCCAAACTGAGTGTGGGAGTATTCAGTACTGTTCGTAGTCTCGGGTCACTTGACCAGAAGCAAACGATACCTCAGCACCTCTTCGCCGGCAATGGTGGGTACAATTGTGTTATGTGCCCTGCACGGTTTTATGTAGATGATTTATACCTCCACTTGCTAGAGGGCCGAAAATGGTGTTTCAGCTCAGTTGGAGTTCCCAGGTCACTCTCGGTTGGATTTCGATTACCGGGCGACCGACTTATGTTTGTTACTTTAGAAATAGGCTTTTTTGTTATTTTATTCTCGATTGTATTTTCCCTTGCATACCTGTCCTCATAAATTTGCTCGCAATAACAGCATTTTCCCCCACGTAAAGTACAAAGATTAACTTAACACGTTCAAGTCTCCATCATCATCTGCGAACACATCGACGGCCTCTAGAAACTCATGCTACAGTGTCCAGTGGGCAGAGAAAATCGCCGGTAAATGCCGGGAGCGGAGTGGTATAAACGATAGGGAGTGGAATACCCGGCTCACCTTGCATTTGTGAAAACCTGAAGGGTATAAGCCCCGAAGATGTGCAAACAGAAACACTCATAGCCACGTCGGAAGAGTCCAGGCTCAGATGCCCACTACCGGGACGCAGGACAGAGCAACCTATACAGCATCTGGATATCTCTAATTCAGGCCGACGAATGAGCTTCTTCAAAGGCCAGTTTCAGTATTGTGAACTCCGTTGGTCTTCGGAATCCGAAACTTTGTATCTTACTGAATATTTGGAAGAAACAAACACTAAACCCGCAGTGAGCCACCAGATCGCGAACGCTCTTTCCTGACAAAGTACTTGGGCTTTTTATTCACCAGTTAACTAGTTACATTTAGGTCTTAGCAAATTTATCAACGGAATATCAATGGCCTTTTACACAGAATTGTTTCGCTGAGCCTCTCAAGCTTCTCAGGGTCGTGTTCTGTGAAACATTCCAAACATGCCACAACACCAGTGAACGGAAGCGATGCTCTCACTGGCTAGAAGACATTCTTGCCATATCTCATGCCCATTCGTCCAAATGTCTGTGCAGAGAGACCAATAGAACCATGTGGATTTGGTCTTCAACGGTCGACTTTGCAATTCAGGAGAGAGTACGTAAAATCTCTGGGAGATTTCCAAAGGTACAACCAAATAAAAATCTTCCACCGATAGTTCAACCGTCCAACCAGTAGGCAACACAAGGCCATGAACCGTGGGACGATCGACAACAGTCTGGACTGTGTTCTGACCCTCAGCAAGTTTATCGCATCTTGATGGTAACTCCGGTAGTCGCAGATCTTGTTTCAATAAGGATCTGGAATCCATGGCCAACCCAGAAACTAACGCGACAGAATTGAGAGGTAATGCTAACGATGATAGTGAAATTTCCAGTAAACTAACGTTGACCAGCATTTCCTTGGGAGCGAGGGAAGAATTTCAAGAGACCGTACTGAATTTATTTGTTGAGGCCCTAGTGTGAGGAGGAAAGCCGCTCAACGCGAAGTCGTTTATTAGCAAAAAAGCAACCATACAGTTACAAACCGGAGGACACTATAGTATACATCTCATATGTCCTTTTTTTTAAAAAATTGAACAAACTCACGTCCTCTTAAAATTCTGGGAATATCCATTGACCATCATCCTATTGTAAACGAACGCCGCAAAGCAGTTCCACATCGGTTTCAGTCTTTTCAACAAACTTTGCGATACTCAGCAGTCAGTTTGTGTTTAACAGCCCCCCGTAATCGCACTCACAGAGACCTGGCTCAAGCCAGATGTCTCTGACGCCGAGATCTCGATCGACGTTTACTCTGTTTTTCTAGTCGACTCAAAACGGAGGCGGGTAGGTGGGGAGGCTCTGAACTTACATGTGGCCCTACCAATCCCAAACGTCCTCTCTGACACCACCCCTGCACCCTTTTGCGATGCACTGTGGGTCCAAATCCCACTGCGCGGGTTCGATACTCTCTTTCTCGGTAGCTCCTTGAGTCCAACCGGAGACGACCAATTCCTCATACGAGCACATGAGCAACTCTCGTCCAACTACCACTTCACTCATCTCCTGCTGGTAGGTGACTTCAACGCTCAAAAGGCCTTCTTGGTGGAGATCCAGCGCGTTGAATCAAGCGGACTTTTAGAAGCGGCGCTGATTGAAGTCGTTCAACAGAATGCACGGACTCAACATGTCGTTGCACCAGATGCCACGCGGACCAATTACCATCCCTCCTGGATATGGTCATCACCAAAGAAGGGCGCTTCGTTGATCAGGTAATAAATAACGCTCCGCTGGGCCGAGGCGACCACTGTGTGCCAAAAAAACCACCACGCACTCGGATGAACCGCAGGATGTCTAAAAGGGTCCGGCGACTCCTGCAAAGAAGATCCCAACACTTTTTCAAAAAGTTGGCCACAGCGGATAGAGAAGAAGAAATCTGCCAATGGAACATACGAAAACAAGCCACCATTCTGGACCTCCTCGAAAAAACAAAAACGAACTGTTCAAGTACATGAGACATCGCCGCAGAAACAAGCCATCCGCGTTCTCCTTGAGGGACAGAAACGGAGAACCGACAAATGACCCAACAGTGTTGTCTGAGGTTTACAGAGAACACCATGCGTGTCTATACTCAGCCCCAGCGTCTTCCTCACATCCACTCTTGTCAAGGCGGAGCTACTAACAGCCTCTAACCGACTTGGTCTTCACGGTGGAGGACATTCGTCAACTCTTGCAAAAGATCAACCCATTCTGCGCGTTGGGGCCCGGCGAGGTCCATCCAATGATCCTGAAAGGAACGTCCTCCACGTTGGCAAACCATTTACACATGGTGTTTCGTCAGTCGCTTCACGAAGGCCGCCTTCCCTTTGCTTGGAAGGAGGCGATTGTCACGTCGATCTACAAAACTTGTGACCAACTATCGCTTGGCAGCTACAGGCCTATAAGGCTCACTAGCGTGCTGTGCAAGGTGATGGAACGCATTCTGAAGCGACCCATCATAGATCACCTTGCTTCCACCAATCTGATATCTCCAGCTCAACACGGATTTCTCCCAAACCGTTCTTGCGTGACAAACATGCTCGTGTTTATGGACAGCCTAACCGAAGCCAAGGACAAAGGACTTATATCGGATGCCATATTTTTCGACTTCTCGAAAGCTTTCGATAGGGTCCCACACGTTCCGCTGCTTCACAAACTCAAGTCTTACGGTATTCAAGAGAAAATCATTCGCTGGATCAAGGCGTTCTCATCAGACAGATCATTCCTAGTGAGAATAGGCTCGACCTACTCCTCTCCAGCGCCGTCTTCATTGGAGTTCCTCAAGGCTCCTTCTTGGAACCACTCCTGTTTTTGATCTACGTCAACTATTTCCCAGACGTTCTTGCAAATCCATGTCTACTTTTGCGGGCGACTTGAAATCCTGGAGTTCCAATGCCAGTGCCCTCCAAATGGATGTAGACGCTGCGAAGCAGTGGTCGTTGGACTGACACCTTCCTCTGAATGAT